GATTGAATTGAAAATTGAATTTTGTAAAAAAAAAATTAGGAGAAGAATATCCATCTATTTTTATCAAGTTCGCATTTTTATCGAAGATAATTTTGCAACACCTGAAGCTCATACGACGTTTTTACTTAGCACAGCAGTACGGACCTCTAAACAGGTCAAGAAATTAAGCCTTACCGCTCATGTTTCCGAATTACAACTTCTTGCAAAACACGTTGGCGTATCAAAAATCTTTCAAAATTAACTAATGAGAGAGAAGTAAACGTTTACATTACAGAAAATCAGAAATTTCCCTCTCGAAAAAAAAAACAAAATCAGCAAATCAGGGTAGGTTAAATTATGCAGCGAAATTGACCTACACGTTCGGCGCATAGCTATAGTTAGGATTCGCATTCATTCAATTTCTCTTCGGAGTCAAGCTATGATTTTGTTCAATAAGACAGTTATTACTCAGGACAGTTCTTCCATTGTAAAATGTACCGAAATTACTTTAGGCCTTGATTATACGAGGGTGCTATAGTACTAGAGTAGACTCCGGTTGCTTTTTTTTGTAACCTGGAACTGTGAAATAACGTTAACAAACCCGTTATTTTGTAACTAATGAATAGAATTTGAAAAATGTCAATGCGCCCATCGTATTTTTCGTAAATTTTGATGAGGTGTCATAATTATGTTGTGGTTCTTAATTTCACACCGTGTGTATAGCGGTCCGTGGATCATTGAAATGGTTACAGTTGTTATCCAACAGTAGAATCGCCTAAAAATGATCAGATAGGCAATATAGCTAACTTAGAAGTTGACATAGTTACACCTATCCGGAACGCCTACATTCAGTATCTTCATTCCTACCTGAGCACTGAATTGCATATTGTCCTCCAACGGTGAAAACGCCTGCAAACGATCGCATAGGCAACATAGCTAACCTCGGAGCTGATATAGTTATCTATCCGGAACGCCTTCAGTTGTATCATCATTTCTACATGAGCCCTGAAACGTGACTAGGATTACTGTATTTTTTTTTTTTTCATGAGTTGATGATAAAACTTTGTTTCTTCATCTCAGGAAGGTGGATTTTTGGTGCTCTATAGAACAATCCAATAGTCAATCGATTAATTGCTGATGTCTAGATTTTAGGATATTTATTATGAATTTCTGAGCACCGCATCAAGCTGTAGTGCGTCCAAAATTTGCTCACAAAATTCGACCAAAAAACATTTATACGTAGCTTACACAAACATAGATTTCAAATTACGTCCAGAGTAAATACCGCAAATTCATTAGCGAAACGATTTGCATTCAAGTCGGGATGTATACTCCTGGAGTTATTTCAAACTACTTCTTGGTCAAGTTTTGTATTATACAGATACCTGGCATTTTACAGCATGGTGTGATGCTTGAAAATATTCAAGAAATATCCGAAAATTCAGATATTCTCATTGATCGATCGACGCGATCAAAGCCTTTTCAAAAACGCAAATGAGCCACCTTAAAATGAGCTGATGATAGCTGATGAACAGTTTTTCCAGGTTTGGTGATGAAATACCATTGTGTGCGTCGCGATGGATGAGACTGACCTAGAGGAGGGGGTAAGGGGGTGTATTGACGGAGGGCGGAGGGTCGGGGGGGAATGGCACGATGGCGGTAACTGTCTACGTCACTTTCACCAGTTTCACCGCGAGAGTTCAATTCATTTCTCATCACATTCGCTGTAATTGATCATCAAAGGGCTCACGACCCAGCTGAGCCAAGAGCTCTCAAACGGAGCGCACCTCAACCCCCCACCCCTACTTGCGCTTGTCTAATTCTCCAGTTTTCCTCATCCGCAATTAAACCAACTTGTTAGCGAACCGAGATACTTAACACCGAGAGTGATCTCGGTACCCCTTTTTATTAATTTTTCCCCCACCACCTTGCACATACGTGCCTTTTACGGACGTCGATTAATTGCTCTCACAAAAGCGAGACAGTTCTAAATTCGATGGCTCAAGGCGAAAACCACAGCAGCGTTTCAAAAAATTCAATTGCGAATCAGACGCAAGTTTTGATCATGTATCAATCACCCAAGGTGATGTCATGGCTCTCCATTACTAAGAGACTCGTTGCAGAGGAGAAAAACTCATACAATTTTGCCGTGCTACAGAAAAACGCCGTATGAGCCTTCAGACGTTGCCAAATTTCCTCTGGCAA